ATCTGCATACAGTGGATCCCGGAAGCATCCATATTTATGACTGCCTCACGGTCCCCTCTATCGCGTCCACACCTTGATCGCCAGCATCGTGATCCCCAAAAAGGGCTCTTCGACGCTCACTTGTGTTGTTTTATTTTTATTAATTTCTGTAGTATCCATTATGGTCCCACGAGAAAAAAGGAAAGAAAGGTCAATCCGTAATGAGCCTCTATTTAAGGAAAAGGCTAAATTACATCTGAGAGGTCGCCTGGTATCCCAGAGTCTCGTTCAAGATACCTCCATTCGAGCCCCACCCCGGGGACAGGTCGTCCAGAAGACGGGACCATCCTGTAACACAACCGTTCCCGAGCTTTACGGTTTACGGTTAATTGTGCCCAGCGATGGTCGTCCCCCGTCTAACCCCCTCCCCACGGAAGAACCCGACGGATTTGGTAATCCTGGTATCATTCATCCATGGACACGAGTTCATCACGAATTAGGTGGCAAAGACTCGCGCATCAATCTCTATGGCACAGCCAACATAACCATGGAAGGGTTGCTTCTTGGTCAGACTTCCACCAGGAGGAAGTCTTCGGAATGGACCCGCGGCTAAGCCTCTGTCCATCCCGTCTCTCTAAATATCCCTCTAAATCCCCGTGCCCTGGGACACTGCCCAGCGAAACACAGAAGATTCGGTTTCTGTAGCGGCCGACCCATTTTGAAGGGTTTGCCCCCTCAGTCCCCACGAAAGATATCGAGAAGTAGCCTCCCACTGGGTAAAAGCCCCTCGTGCGCCTCCCACCAACGGCAAGGTCTTGAAACCCCTAGAGAGGGGTAAGTAATAATACAGGATTGAATTTTAATTAAATAAATAATTTTATTTAATAACAAAACAAATATGTTTGAAATTATCAGGGAAACAATATTAAAGGGTCTAATTTTTATTAAAAATTATTTAAATTATTTTCAATGAATGACAATTATTTTTCATTGAAAGTAAATATTTTAATGAAAAAAACATTCTAATTAATAATTATTTTCTTATAACTCTGATACAATGAAAATATCCTATGGCCGGTTTGCCCCACAGAGGCTCATTTTGAGAATAAATATTTGTTTTAAAAGAACGCTTTGCAAATTCATCAAAGTTTTTGGTGGTAAATATTCCTGGGGTGTGTACCTTCAAAGCCTAAGACCTAATATTTGGAAATATTACACGATTTTCTCAGCTGTGTTTTGATGCAAATAAATTTGGTATTTGGAATAAATAATTAAATATTTTACGTAATTAGAGGAATATTAATCTCAATTAAAATAATTATTTATGATAAATAATTGCATATTTGATACAAATAAATATTTTGTTATTTCAAAAAAAATTATTTTACTGATGTAAATAAATAATTATTTGAATTAAAATCCATGCATTACTGAAACAAGTAATTTTCATAATTGATTTAAAGCAATATTTATTAGATCCAATTAGTCCATTTATCCCCAAAGCTCAGACAAGCCTCGGCGGCAAGTACTGGCTGAGTGTAGAACATTTTTTTTCAACGCTCTTTGCCAACATTGCTTTTTATTAAATAAACTTGAAAGAAATGATAAAAAAGTTTATGAATGTTTATAAATAGGTATAAATTTATTGAAAGAAATTAATATTTTACTTTTCAGTTATTCATTTATTATTTGTATTTAATAATAATAATAATAATAATAATAATAATAATAATAATAATAATAATAATAATAATAATAATAATAATAATTTTTTTTTTTTTTTTTTTTTTTTTTGCGTGGGAAGTGGAAAATCTGCTATAACCTTGGAGGCCTACTTCCAAGTCAGATACCTGGAGCCCGTACTCCTAGGTTATGTGGGGATGACCGCTCTTGTTCTGGCCGACCCACTAAAAACCACTCCCTTTTGAGACATATCTCCCCTGGCGGAACTGCTGTCAAGCTTACATCGCCAGTGGAGGTCTCCTTACCTACTTCCAGATCCAAGTCCTTAACAAGGCGCCAGCTGAAGAGGGAGGAGTTCCAATTAAGGTCTCCTCCGTCCTCCGCGAGCGCCCCGCCGAGCAGCAGGAATTCTCCAGGGTAATCTCGCCCTTCTGTCGTTCTCCTTCCTCCTCATGACTTCGATGACAAAAGTCTCGACTTCTCGCCATGAGTCCGCGCTCTGCAACATAATTGAAACCATATTCTCGACCGTGACTTCAGTGCCCACGGCCGAAAACATGGCTTCCCTAAGTTCACGCCAGTGCCCGCAGGAAAAAAGCGTGTGCTCCGCGTCGTCAGTGTGCTCTGCTTCGTCGTCACCCGAACCGTTACAGTACACACATTTCGCGTCTGCTTCTATTTTAAACCGATAGAAGTACTGTCCGAAACAACCATGACCCGACATCGCTTGTGTAAGGTAGTAGCCTACTTCACCGTGTTGTCTTTCCAACCATGTGGCGAGGTGGGGAATTAGGCGATGAGTCCATCTACCTTTCAATTCCCCATCCCATCTCTCCTGCCAACTCAGAACGAGTCTTTTTCTTGACTCTAAGCGGATTAGAGCTTTGAGTCTTTCTCTACGCTCCGGGTTGCCTACTAGATCTTTGGAGAGCTGGAAATTCTCCTGCCTTTCCATCGCCAACAAATCCATTGGCGGTAATCTAGCAAGCACCCGAAGAGCGCAATCAGACACCGTTCTGAAGGCTGACGTTATTCTCCTTGCTGGCTCTCTCTGAGCCGAGAGAAGTCTGTCAGAGATGCTGTGGATCTTAAGGGCTGAAGCCCATACAGGGGCAGCATAAAGCTGCTTTGATTGAACTACAGTCGCCACCAGTCTTCGTTTATTTTCCCTGGGGCCACCGATATTGGGCATCATCCTCGAGAGGTTTCCCATGCATTCGGTGGCTTTGAGTGTTGAGATGTTAATATGTTGGCCAAAACTTAAACGTTTGTCCAACCGCACTCCCAGGTACTTAAGCTTATTTCCCCATGCGACTTCAGTTCCTCCCATTTCAATCTTCGGGGCTTCATAAACTCTCCTGTCTGTGACGAGTAGAGCTTCGGTCTTCTCGAGAGCCATTTTCAGACCATGCCGATATAACCAAAATTCAGCTCGCCGCGGACTATCTTCCAGTTTTATTTTTAGCAGTCTTAAATTCTCGTCGTAACATATTAAAAGCACGTCGTCCGCGAACCCGGATATAGACGTATCTTCGGGTAAGTCCAACCTCAGAAAACCGTCATACATAACGTTCCAGATGGTTGGCCCCACCTTTGATCCTTGGGGAGCTCCACATGTCATTTTCTCTTTGATATGACATGCATCGCTCTCGTAGACAACCCATCTGTCGCTAAGATAGTTGTCTATCATTCGCAACAGATACGTTGGTACCCCTTTACATCTCATTGCTTTCATACAAATATCCCATTTCGCGGAATTGAACGCGTTACGGATATCAATTGAAACGAGCGCGCAAAAACCCTTCTTCCGTCCCTCTTTGACCTTTTTCGCCTTTTCGAGAACTGCTAAGATCGCGTCTACTGTCGACCGGCCTTTCCTAAAACCGAATTGATTCTCTGATAAGCTATTTTCGCCTACCAGGATTCCCTGAAGTCGCTCTAGAATCATTCCCTCTAGAAGTTTACCCATCGTGTCCAATAAACAAATTGGTCTAAACGATGAGACTTTATCTAGAGGTTTATTATTTACCTCTTTGAGGATCTCGTTGGGTATTCCGTCGCTGCCTGGCGCTTTGCCGTTCCTCAACGTCTTTGCCACCTTTTTAAGCTCCTCCAGCGTGAAGAGCTCCTCTCTTTGCACTACACAAGAGGAAAAGTCCTCCCTAGGGCCAGATTCCACATGGGGAAACAGCGCCTCAATAATCTTTCGGACCCAGATCGGATTGTCAAGACCGGGGGTTCTTTGCCTCGAAACTAATTTCTTAGTGACGACTTTGTAGGCCAAACCCCATGGGTCCTTCTTCGCTTCTCCGATCAGGTCCTTCCAACACGATTTTTTGCTACTCTTTATAGCCCGCTTAAAAATATGCCTGGCTTTGTGCCACTCTTCTTGCAGCAGAAGGTCTCCCTTTGAATGGGTGTATTTCCTCCTCGCTGCGTTGCATTCTCTTCTTAAGCGGGCTAATTCGTCGCTCCACCAGTACAAAGCACCCTTCCTAGCTTTTGTTTGGTGCCGGCGAGGCATAGAGTAATTGCACGCTGCAATAATAACTCGCCTCGCCTCACGCACTTTGTCGCCCACAGAAATTGGCTTCGTCATCCAGCCTAGCTCATGTATAGCTCGAGCCTCGGCCAGAGACTCCGCCAACTTCTCCCGATTTAGCCGTCTGAGGTTCCAGGAGGGTCTCTTGTGGCCAACATGCGGCTTGATGTTCCCTCCCCGATTTATCTCAGCGACTATAAACTCTATGTACTGGTGGTCACTCATAGTTGTTTCGTCCAGCACTCCCCACCGCACTATTCTACGGGCCACGCGGGGCGACGCAATTGTCAAATCGATGATAGACCCTGACACCCCGCGCTTGAACGTGAACTCTTGTCCCCGGTTCACCACCACTAAATCGTTTGCTGCGACCATGTCCGAAACCAAGGTTCCCCTCCTGTCTAGACGAGTCTCTCCCCATTCCGGCGACTTACTATTAAAGTCTCCCGCAATGAGGACATCCCCGCCGAAAGCTCTGATGCTTTCTTCAAGAGCCTGAACCTCGGCGTCGAACTTTTTAAGGGGATCGTTTGGAGAGAAGTAGCAGCTGTAAACGCGTACCCCCGCCACCTCCACCCAAACGAAACCCGCCTCGGTCTCCAGAAAGTCACCAATGGTGATGTCCGGGTTACATATTTGGATACCTGATCTCTTGGATGCATCCTCAAACCAGACAGAGGATTCTGGCTTCCTATACTGCTCACTGAAAAGCAGTATATCAGCTCCCCTCTCTCTGGCAGTCTGCATCAAGAGATCTTGCGCGACTTTTCCTTTCCTGAGATTAACCTGGAGAAACCTAAGCTCTGGACTTTAGATCTGTAAGCATCTTCCAGTACACCGGACAGGCCCTGCTCCCTGAAGGATGTTTTGTGTCCTCCATCCCACGATCGGAACAGTCAATGCACTGGGCTGCCCCCTTGCACTGACCCTTCCTGTGGTCGAGACCGCCACACCTCCAGCAAGCCTCCTTTCGGTCCGGCCCACTGCATCCTCCAGCCAGATGGCCGTAACAGAGGCATCTAAAGCACCTCTCTACTTCCACTCTGGCGTGGACTCTGCAGTTGACCCACCCTATTTTTACTCGCCTGGCCTTTAGTAACGACTCCGCTTCCGTTTCCGGGAGCCGTAGAATGGCCTTCTTCGTATTACCATACCGAGCGAAAAGCTGGCACGGCAATTCTAAATCCGGCCTGCTAAGTACACCTCGGACCGCCTCTACAACATCTTGTTGGACTATGGTTTCGTCAAGGTCTAAAATTTCTATCGACCTCATCGAAACCACAGTCCTTACTTCTGCTTTTCCCTGAAGCGCAGCGGTCAAAGCACTGCCGAAACCCAAGACGCCCTGTCCCTTTTTTAAAACCAGAAGGAGATCATTCCTTTTGGTCCTCCGAATCGACAATATCTCCGTCCCCGTATCCTCAGGCCTAACCGCCGCCTTCATTTTACTAATTATGTTCGGATCTTTTGCGGATATCACAATTGCATCCGTCGATTTTTCTTTCTTTTTACGTGAGGGTCGATCGGTCTCATTGTTCGACTCCCCCGTCATTTCTATCAACTTTTCTTCATCCCTTTTCTTTTTTTTTTTCTTCTTTTTTTTGACCTCTTTCCAGGTTTCATTTTCCTGGAGAGAGTTCAATTTCTCCTTTTCTTCGGCAGCAGGCTTGCTGTCCCTTGGGTCCAGCTCGCCTGTTTTGCCCTTCTTTTTCTCAACTTTCTCTGGTGGTGTCCCAGAGGCATCTCTCTTTCTTCCTTTTCTTTCAGAGTTCGGAGTCGCCAAGGGTATTGTCCCCTGGCGGCCTTGAGCTCTCTTCTGGCTGAGGGAATCCACTATCTCTAAATTATGAGAAAAGCAGGCCCCCTCATCCATCATATCCTTTAAGATGCCTCTGAGGCTATCACTATGGTGATATGCCTCTCTGGCACTGATTTTCACCTCCCTGGAGTTGTTCTTGAGCATCCCTTCCTTCACTATTTCTAGTGATTTGAAGAGTTGCTCAACCACCACAGACTGCTTCTCCATAAGTCCAAGAATGACTTGCCATTCTTCGACGATCGGTGAAGCAGTCCGCGATATCAGGGTCTCCTTTTCCTTTTCAATGATGGACTCAGAGGAAACTACGCTCTCCGTCTCCATCATCACTTTTCCGTCACCGTTATT